AAAAATAATAATAACAATAAATAATAAAGATTGGGCCTGGACCAAGCCTGGAGCCCCCTGCCCACAGTGCCTGGAATCCATCCATTGAAACCCAGAAGAAACCTTAAGGCTTTCAGGCCCACAGGGAGTCTGTCTAAAGCCAAATTCACCCCGGAGGCAGGGGACACTCCTCAGAGTCCCCACACAGGCAAGCTCATTATGAATTTAAATGAGTGCCCTAACCAGCAACTAGCTCAGCGCCCTGTGGGACCAGGAAGCATTTTCTACACCCTGCAGGGTCAGAGACTGAAGGAAAGCAGAGCTAAAATCAGGGAGGAGATGAGGAGCCGTGCCCGGGCCTTAGCCATCTGCCAGACTTGGGTGTCTTAAAGGAAATGCCCGGAGGCAGGGAGAGGAGTGAAGATTATATTTAGAGCTCACTGAGATGAAGTAATGTGCTCGCTCCCTCTCACTCCAGAGACAAGGCTCTTGGTCTGCTTGGAACACTCTCCCTACTCCATCTTCACTGTGGGACCACTGCCCACAGGAGCCCTTGTAAGGGGGCCTCCCCAGCTCCCGAGGCGCCCCCACTCCCTGGAAGGCAGGCTGAACCCTGTGTCCTCCTAGTTCAGCACAGCTTCCCCAAAGATCCCCCTCAACTGGGCCTGGCAGGTAGGAAAAAGACTCAAAGCTCGAGTAAATAAATAAATGATGATTTTTAAAATCTTTGTTCTGAATATACTAATTGGCCTATTTATGATAAATTATAAGTCTTAAGTATTTTTACACTGTCAAGCACCCTCAGGATGCTTAAATATTGATGACATTTTTGTAATAAATTTGGAAGACTGGAGGCAATTGCAGTAAGATACTAGGAAGGGCTAGGAAATGGGGAGATTTCCTGGGACAGAACCCACGCATTCGGGGAGCGCTTCCAGGCGGGCATCCTTGCTGCTCCCAGAGGATAAAAGGCTGTAGAGCAGAAGGCAGCCCAGAGCCTCACGTCCATCGAATCCAAAACCCTTTGGGACCTTTTATTCCCACAATTTAAAAATCAATTCCCTTTCTGAAAAAGACACTATGTGCCAACCACACAAAGATCTGGGTCAGAAACAAAGCCGCTTCGCAGAAATGACTTCATGTGTTCAGAACCGGGGAGATGGATTTCTTTAATCCACAGCACACCAAAAACTGATAAAGATTTCAAATGGAGGAAAGGAAGGAGTGGGTACAGATATACTGGGGCTCTTTTTATAGTTCCTGGAGTGTGAGAATGTTAATTAAAGGAATCTCAGAATCGGGGAGGATCTAAGAATGGAAGGGGCGAGAATCTAATTTTAGGTGTTGTTTCATTAGGTTAAAAAAAAAAAAGACAGTTCCATGAGCTACCTGCAGCCATTCTCAGGAACTTCACAGACCCCCAAAGAGCTCCAAATGAAACTGTAAAGTGTGAGAGACAGATTTAATGAAAACCTCTCAGCCCAGTAAAGAACCTCTTCATTTGAAAGACAAATTCGTAAATCTTGGAGCATAAAATCAGCATAACAGAATGTTAGATATCATTCTAATGTGATTCTTCAAAGAGCTGTCCGCATCCATTTTTTAAACAAAAGGCACCAACGGGATTTACTAGCTGTTGCCTCTGCCAAAAGGTTCCCAAACCTAGGCTTGATGTGTTCCTTGACATCCAAGTGAGTCTTCAGGGTGTTACCCTTCTTTCCATCCAGTAGATAATAATACAACTAATAACTACTGACCCTGGCCTTACTGAGGACCCCACTTTTCTCAGCAAGTTTACATACAATTCTCTGGTCCCCCCAATGCCCTGCAGGAGAGACATTTCCGTTTCCATCTTGCAAGTGCAGAAACTGATTTGTGGGATGGACGCTGAGCTGGCAAATAGGAGAGCTGGGTCCTAAAGTCAGTTCTGTCTACTTCCAAGGTCAAGCGCTTTGCACTATGCCACTTTAGAACAATCTGTAGACGCATAAAGCAGGGGTAAAATGTGTCCAAGGGAACCCCCCCAGACCAGATATGCACAGGCACACTTACTCCCCATTCTTGGGCTCTGCTCCTGCGTCCTGCGTCCCATAGTTTGATGGCCTGTGTGAGTGATCTTGACTGGTTCATGCCCATAGCATTCACAGTCCATGAGCTGTGAGCGGCAGAAATCCATTCTTGCCAACAAAAGCAAAGGGATTTTCTGAAAGGCTATCTAGGAGTCAAAGAAGCAGTGCAAAGGCTACACCCCTAGGTAGAAAGCAAACAACCCTAGATACTGGTTAGTTGAAATAAAACAAACCATCTCTTGCCAGAATAGATTGGCCCTGCGTCTCTTCTTTGTCTTCCTGCTCAGATTGTTCTGGCTTTGGTCAGAGACTATCCACTGGGGAAGAGAGAATTTCCCAAAAAGGAATGGTGTACTGGTAGCTGGTCCACTGCCTTGCACAACTCCAGGGGGCACCACTCCCGTAGATTATAACGTGAGTGGTATGCCCTCGGGTTGTACAGCATGCCGGCCCGACAACTGAATCCCAGGCAGCCCCCTCTGAACTCTCTGCACTTGTTAGAATCACCGCCCACATACACCGCTCACTTCTGGCACAGTTAACTTTCTGTACAGCTCGTCATTGTATCTTTCCCAGTTGCACAGGAAGATCCTTAAGGATAAGATCCAGAACTTCAACATCTCTATTTCTAAAACCACATCATACAGAGAAGTAGCTTCCGATTAAACTTTTGCTTGTAGCCACAACCAAATATGTATTTCCTTTAAAAAATAAATGGATCAGTTCATTTAGTGCAGTGAAATAGGAATGTTGTCCCTCTGGCACCCACCATGTTTGCACATTAGCCTCGCCAGGTACAAGAAATTGACCATGGCAAGGAAGGCTAGATAAGTTGGGGGCATGAGCATTTAACAGAAGCCAAAGGCTATGCTAAGAATGGGTGTCCTGGTAGAAGGTCAGGTTCAGATTGCCTGGAGAGGCCTTTTTCAAAAAGGATTACCCTCATTCCCCTAATATTATTCCGTGTAGGCAGCTGCTCGCGCACCAGCCACTGCCCCTGGCCCCAAAGCCCCTTTTCAAGGAGAGAGTTTGGTCGGTCTCCAAGTATTTCCTGAGCAGTGGTTAGGCACCAGGGGCTATGTGAGGCAGGAAGTCACTGTGCTATTAAAAGAGCTCAATACCTGATGCCATCAATAAACCAATAACCATTCATTCAACTCCACCATCCTCCACCATCCCTCCACGCTCGTCGCCAGATTGGCTGCTCTGATGGCTCATTCCCTAATCCAGGCTCTTCTGTCAGCATAGCCCAGGCCCAGAGCTTTCCAGCAGGGAGAGGGTCACAATAGCAGGAGCAAGAATGAAGTGGGCTGGCAAACCCACGTCGTCCTGGCTCTAGGTCTGCTCATTCAACAACCTCTTTAACAACCCTATATTGCGCCCTGCTGTGTGTTCGACTTTGCAATGTACCGGGAGCTATGCAAACAAGAAGGGACAGGCTACTGAAGGAAGCAGGCTGTAAACAGATGATTACAATTCTGGATGGCCAATGATTCAAATGGTTCACATAATATTCTCATCTACCGTTGTATCTAGCACCTGGCATAGCGCCTGGCCTGCATTGGGTGGATGCCCCGTAGTGCAGACTGCTGAGTGAATGTATGCATGACAAACATGGACTGCTCGCCATGGGTCAGGTGCTGTGCAAAGAGTTTTACTTGCATTAACTCATGTGATGCTCATGACAGCTCTGTGAGGTGAATATTATTATAACCCCCGCCTCATTTCCTGATGAGGAAACCAAGGCACAGGAAGATTAGGTGACTTGCCCAACTAATAAGAAGAGGAGCCAAAATTCAAACTCAGCACAGACAATCTGACCCCAGAGTCTGAGCTCTTAGGCACTGTGCTTGTGTGTTAAGTGCATGGGGTTGGGGAGTCCCAGAGATGGCAGTCACCATACGAGGAGCTGGGCATGGTTTCAATATTCAATATTGATATGAATGGCCCACCCACTACCATAACATCGCAGCAGCTTGACCTCCACAAACATTTTCCATCATTCCACCTCAACCACTGACTCCCACATCAACTCTGTGTGTTGTCATCCCCAGTAAATGCACCACTTCTGAAATCTCAGTGCCAAGCCTTCTGCTCCCTGGCTTCACCATGTCCTTCCAGCACATGCATTCTAGGACCTTGATGGCAATGATGGAAATCCCATTCAACTGACTCTACCACTGTTTCTACTAGCAACCCACCCTGCCTTCATTTACTTCCTTACCCTTCTTAGAGTCCATGATCTATTATTAGAAGTCTATTCCCAATAGCCTGCACTTTTTCTCCGTATCATTCTTGCCCAGTAAAACTACCCAACCATCTACCCTCTCCCATTCTTATATTAGAGCTACTGAACATTGCCTCATTCCCCTCCCCAGGGCTTAGCTCAAATATCATCTCCTTAGAGATGCCTTCCCTGGCCAGCCACCCAACAAAACATGGTGTCTCCTAATTTGTTATTTTAGCAAATTATTTATTGAGTGCTTTCCAGACATTGTTATTAGCACTTTACATTGATTAATTATTTGAATCCTCAAAGCTCAAGGAAGTGGAATTCATACAACCATGAATTATTGTCATTATTATACCCATTCTAAAAAGGGAAACTGAGCCCAAAGGGGTAATGACTATCCAAAATCAAACAGATATCATAGGCAGTCTCAGGATTGAACCCCACACAGCCCAACTCCAGCCTGGTCTCTTAACCATCACACCATCTGCCTCTCACACAGCCAGAATGTCTTCTTCTAGCACTTTCTACAATCCAGGTACTACCTCATTTAGTGATTTACATGCTGTCAGTGTCCTCCTTAGAATATGAGCAACTGTGTGGACAGAGACCTTCTTTTCCATCACTGGCTCCCTAGTGCACAGCGAGCACAGATAATATGAGCAAATCATTTTTGTTTAATATGATTGAGTAACATTATGTCTGTTTTGTATATGTTTCAGAGCAGATTTATTATGCCGGGCCCATCAATAATCCTGGATTTGAAATTCTCCAGGTAAGGTCTTGGTTTTCTGTTTTGTTCTGTTACTTAATTATTGTATTGAGCCGTTTCTTAGAAGAGGAGGAGGGAATTAAGTTTAAACAAATTCCATTGGCCATCACTAAGAAAACCCTTCTACAAAAAAGCTGTTACCTCATGGTGGGCACTTACAAATGCTTAAACCCTGATTTTGCCATTTTGGTATTTAACATTTTATGTTCCAATTGACCCTCGGGGATCCTCTGGGCAGACAGCTCCCGCAGAGAGGGATGCCCCCGTCCCATCCTGCAGGATTGCCTGTGTCCTCGGGGACTGCATGGGCTAAAGTTGCTGGGGTGTGGGCTGTCAGTGAGGCTGACTGTTCAGAGGAAAAAAAACACACATACAACCATGAAGGCTTATAAGCTCCCAGGTTCCGGGCTTGCACTATTACTCATGGCTGCCACCAGGTGAATAAAATGCCCCCACCTGAGCATTCACTGGCAATACTCACAGCTAAGAGTCAAGTTTTCCACTAACTCCTTTTTATACAAAATAATGTGACCTTAATGGCTGAATTCAAGCATCTCTGACATAAGCAATACATTTTCAATATGCTACTCCTGAGAGAATCTTATGTGACATCATAAAAGGAATCACAAAGATGTAATAACTATGTTTTTTGTTTCAACCTCATCCGCTCAGTTTTCAAAAAAACCCGTGTATGACTCTGGGGAAGGGTCTCCTTCTGCATAACGAATTTGTTTAACTTTGTTTCATTTCTCGTGTGTGTGTGTGTGTGTGTGTGTGTGTGTTTCCTTTCTGTCCCAGGCTTTGGGTTCCGAAGGTACAAGCCCTCATGTCTCAAGAACATTCTCTAGTGTTGCCTTTGCAGATGGGAAGTTTCCAGCTTCACCTTCCCCCTCCAGGGTTCTCCAGAGTCTTCTCTGCAGACCTTTCAGTAAAATATTAGAGTCTTGCAAACTCCCTTCACTTCTAGAATGTGGGACCAAAATTCTCCCAGCTAGTTTTTTCTTGAAATCTTTGCTATTTGAGCTCTTTTTCCTACTCTATTTTCCTTCTGAATCCCTCCGTCCCCCCTCCCACTGGAGATTGACTTAAAATTTGCAAACAATTGATTTTCATCTTGCATTATTGGCTTTTTTTTTTTTAAGGCAGTGTTCTTTAGGAATTGCTGTGAAATAGAAAGGAAAAGAACTTCTTAAAGGCACAGAATCCCTTTGAAAGGAAAATCTGGCAGAGATGTAAAAAAAAGCTTTATTGCATTCCGCTAGGATGCCTGGGTGAGTGCAGGACCCGCGTTCTTCAACCAGTGACAGTGCTCAGCCATGTTGTCCAACATGAGGACCAAGCCAGGCTCCGGGGTCCCTGCCATGGGCATGGTTGTTTAGGCATCCATTGGTCCTCTTCCCCTTCTGAGGTTTGGGCCTAAGAAGCAGAAACCTGGCCAGCCCTGACTGCATCCAGCCTGCTGACACCTGGCCAAAATTGACAGGGGGCATGACCCAAGTGGGACACATGCAACCTGTCACCTACGCAACAGAGACAGCTGCCCGCCTTAATCTCAACATGGGCTCCCACGCTGGTTGAGGGCCAGCTGCGGCCAGCCCGGCTTTCTTGGCTAACAGCCAGCCGGCAAGGCGCAGAGACTTTGCTTCCTAATATGGGACAGAGACAGTGTGAAGCCTTCTGGTTTTAAAAGACCTGCCCTGGATCCCCTCCTCCCACCAAATCCCCCAGAGATGGGCTCTGTGCTAATTCCATCCCTGCTTGGCTGGAAGCTTTTCCACTCAGCACTCCATCTTCAGTGTCTTGGTGTTACTTTCTTTTTAACACAGCCAGTCCCTTGGCCCTGACTGAAGTCCTGCCCAGAGCCCTGCAAATCCATGACTTGTTTTCTGAATTAGAATTTAGAGATCCTTTGGGCTTCCAAGATGTGTGGAGCCTAATCTTCGTAAGTGCCAAAGATACGACTGTAAATTCCTGACCCACAAATTCAGGGCTCTCCTCAACAGCAGAGAGGCTGCCGCTCTCTGACCCTTGTCCCTACTCTGCCCCTCCTGTCCTCTTAGCGTGTCCCTCCACCTCCCTGCTGATGAGCACAGTTGCCCAAATTCTCTTGCCTCCTAAACCAGAGTATGCGTATCTTGTACGTATGTATGCATGTGTGGAATATAAGTGTGGAATTCATAATCTAGAAACCTTCCTGCAAATACTACATCTTTTCTTAGGCTTATAAGGCAATAACGAAAAATTCATTTGGTTTTCAATAATTTGGGGCGGTGTGTGCCTGAAGGCACATGGACACTAAACGTAAAGAAGGTGATGGTGAGGGGCCCACGAGCAGATGCACATTTGAACTGCTCTCTACTCACAATGAATTCTCTAACTTTCACACTGCTTCGCTTAAATTCCTATAATGCTTCTGAAATCGCAGCTGCTCATATTTGGGCAGCCAGCCTCATGGGAGTCTATGCTGTCACAGATCCTCAAGCTGAGGGGCACCCTACGGGACACTCTGAGCAACCCTCTCACCTCAGCCACTATTCAAGAGTACAGCCTGGCTCTGCCAAATGCAGTTTTCATTGTTGGGGCACCCGCTCGCTCCTGGACCTCTGCTAATTGCTAGAAAGTTATTCTTCTCTAACAAAAACTGCCTCTCATGCAACCTCCATCCAGTGGTCTGATTTATTCCTTCCCTCCGGCTTATACAGACTAAACCCCTTTTCTTCTCTGGGTGACAGGCACTTGAAAGATGTGCCAGGAATCTCTTGAGATCTTCCCTCCTGGGCCCTTTGCTCCCACTACCCCCCACGGCCCAGAGCATCTCTCTCCAGGCTGGTGAGCCTACAGACACATCACCACCACGTGGCCTCTGGGGGCTGGGGCGGGGCTTTGGCACGGAACCGACACATGGGTTTTTCTGCAAGTTCACATTCAGCCCAACCAGTAAACACAGACAGAGAGTCCTCTGTGGAGTGTCATTGCCAGAAAAGGAACCCTAAAAGGTGGCAATACTTTTTCTCATAGAGCATTCTGGTTTTGTGCAGTTGAATTTTGATCTCCCAGAGGTCTTCTCTGTTTCAGCAAATGACACTTCATCCTTCCAGTTGCTCAGGCCAAGATCTTTGGCATCACCCTCAGCCCCTCTCTTTCTCTGCCACCCACATGAGTTTCCTCGGTAAATCATTATTGGCTCTTCTTTCAAAATCTATCCAGAATCCAGTCTGGATTCCTCTCCTCATCTCTGCCTGTCTGCTCCAGCCAGGGTGGTCTCCCACCTGGTCTTAAGTGCTTCCACTCTCTGCCCATACCGGCTCTGTGGGTGGCCGGAAGGATCCTATTATGATATGCATGTGATCAGGCCACTCCTCTCATGACCTGTGTCCCTGTCAGGGTGGAAGCCAGTGTCCTCACCATGGCCCGCGAGGCCATCCCTGACTCATGTCCTCTCCCTCCTCCTGTGGTTCTCTCTCCCTGCAGCCCCGTGGGCGTCCTCCCTATTCCTCACACACAGGATGCCAGCCCTCAGAGCAGCGGGGGTGCTCCCCATCTTCTTCAGGTCTTTGCCCAAAAGTCACCTTTGCAGCGGGACCTGCCTGGACCACCCTGCTTAAAACTGCCCACCAGCACTAGCCCAGCCCCACACTGCCCTGCCTGGCCCAGTGCTGCCCCCCCCCACCCCCCCACGCCCGCTTCCCTGCCTGCGTTCTGTCTCGGGCACCAGCATGAGCATAGCACCCATAGTGAAGGATCGGGTACATTGTCTGTCTGTCCCAGGGAGCCCCGTAAGCGCCACAAAGTGAGTTTGGTTTGCCTGGTTCTACTTTATCCCCAGGGTCTAAAAGAGTGCCGGCACCTAGGAGGTGCTTGATGACTACCGGTGGAACGATGGATTGCTTTGTGGGTCACACAGCTCATGCTTTCCCTGCGTCCTTTCCAGGGAGAATACCAGGTTTTGCTGGAACTGTATAATGAACACCGTTCCACCGTGGCTTGTGCCAATGCCACTGTTGTTTGCTCCTGAGCAGCTGAAACCTGGGGCACACTGTGTCTGCTGGGAACCACAAGCTGCTCAAGCTGGACCTGCTCTGTAAGCAAAACCAGCCGACGATGGAGAGGCTCAGCAGAGGGGCAGGCGCAGGTTTTAGCCCCAGGACCGGACGTCCTCAGACTCCACGCATGTATGTGCTCCTGAGTCACCTCCTGGTAGTCTCGACGCCATCCTGTGGGCCCGTCCTCCTCCGCATGGCCAGACTCACCTGCAGAAACAGCTCCGCAGGAGCACTTCCCCTGTTACCCAGAATAAAGAAAGCTGGCCCACTGTTGTTCCTCATGGTTTGTTCGAAGGCTCTTAGTGCGAGACCGTAGTTACAGTGTAATTTCCTCCAGACAAAGCGCCAGGTGCTGGCGAAGCGTAAGTAGTTCTAAGAGTTTGAGGAGGTTGACCGACTGGCTGGAATTAGAGAGCTGGCAAAATGTGCCCCTTGTCCTCCCCCTCCTTCTGAGCAAGCTCCAGGCCCTTTGGCCACAAGGACAGAGGAGCCGATAAAACCTTAGAAAGAATGACATCCAAATCCCGCCTGGCCAAACCTCATTATATCATCGTCCCCCAAGCGTGGCCGTCCTTGGCCTCAGCACGTCATGGCTCTCATTAATGCATTCATTAATTCTTGATGTGTACCTGCTGAACACTGAAGTCCTGGGCCCTGTGTTCAGCACTGAGGCTACTCCAGGGAGCAAAACAGACCGTGTGGAGCTTGCGGTCCCCTGAAATATTAAAAAGCCATGTCGATCAGTGAGCATGTTCATTTGCATTCAGCAACACCTCCAAGGGCCTCCGTAAACGAGCAGGTTGCTATCCGCTCTCAGAGCCATTCTGGCAACCCCGTCCTTTTCTATCCCAGGATGTGCAGAATCACACGGTGGGCTCCACAGCTCTGACACCGTCCCGTGCCCCCCTCCCCACCCTGATCCTCCCAGTGTCCCTGGGCCCAACATCTGGCCCTCTTGCTCCTGCCCCGGGGACTGGCATCAGGTGACTGGGTTGACTTTATCATTTGCAGGTCTTTGAGATCCATAAAATACCACTATGTTAGAGATTAAAAGGTGAAAAATCCAAAGTTTAAAAATGTTCATTGCTATTAATTACCATCTGTACATAATTAAACTACCCAGAATAGCAAGCTGTAAATGCCTGGTGAATTAAAACTTTAAAACCAGCATCTAAGGTTTTTTGGGTTATGGAGAAACAAAATTATAGCAGTGTCCTTACTTACACCCATTAATGCTCGAGAAAGAAGACATACTGTGCTTATGCCCGGCCAGGGAGCAGACCTCTGAACACACACGGCTGTGATCCTTTTATGCACACCAACAGCAGACTGAATTTCTGATCCTTTGCCATTCCCTCTAGTGAGACATTCCCCTGCTCCCTCTCCCGTAAGCATCCTTATGTGTGGAGTAAAGGCTGCACGGAGGTTCTGAGTACTCACGTGTTCCAACAGCTTAGGACAGTGGCCACAGCCTTCCAGAGGCAGGGACAAGCAATCGGAAATGAGCTCACTTTTCATTTTTCTGAAATTCCTCTGTTCCCTTTCCCTTTCCTGTTCTTTGTCATCTTCTTATAATTCATTGATAATATGTGTACATGTGTGTGAGCATGTGTGTATGTGTGTGGGTTGGGGGCGTGTTTAGACCTACGGGTTTGGATGAAACAGGGGATTTCCATGTACAGGGCTGGCCCCAACACACCGCAGCCGCACTCAAGGATTAACTTGAGAGGAAAAGAAGGTGTTTCCCTGCCCCAAGATCTGTTTGTCCTTAGTGCCCTGTCATGGACCTTACATTTCACTGTGAGTTCCTCTCCTGCAAGTTAGAAAGAGAAAGTTTTTCCCTGGCTCCGTCTTGGTAGGAGAAATGCAGGAATCATTATCCCTACATGACATTCTGGCTGATCACAGGAATGAAGGATGAAGGTTGGAACTCCATCCGAGGAAGCCAGAGGCATTAAGGGGGAGGTGGGCAACCCCAAGGCAAGCTCTCTGGGGCTGACCACCTCTCCGTGTGCCTGCGTTGCAGGCGAGGTGTGGAGGGCACACTGACAAAGAACTTAAGTTGTGTCTCATTTTCTTATAAGCAGAGCTCCTGCTGTTTGAAAATCACTATAAAACATTCTAAGCATTTCTCCTCAGTAAACTTCCCTGAGGGAAAACAAAAACAGGAACAAAACAAGCAAACAAACAAACAAACCAAAAAACTCAGTTTGATTCAAGATGATGCTCTGTTCCCAAAAAACACTTGTGGATATCAGACAGCTCCCCTGTTCTGGGCATCCACAGGCTCCTCCTTATAATTTAAGGGAAACTCTCTGTACCCACATAAACAGTTAACCCTTCAACAACACAGACATTACAGGCACCAAGCCCTCATGCAACTGAAAATCTACGTATAACTTCTGACTCCAAAAACTTAACTACTAAGAGCCTGCTGTCGACCAGAAGCTTTACCGACCACATAGTCAATTAACACGTATTTTGTAGGTTCTATGTATTAAATATTGAATTCTTACAATAAAGTAAGCTAGAGAAAAGAAAATGTTAAGAAAACATAAGGAAGAGAAAATACATTTAGAATGCTGCACTGTATCGAAAAAAATCAGCATACAAGTGGACCCTCACAGTTCAAACCCATGTCGTTCGACAGTCAATTGTGTGTGTGTGTGTGTGTATGGTTACAGGGTATATATATATACCCTATAACCTTCCCACCAAATATATAAATATATATAAATATAAACAAATATATATATATATATGGTGTGAAGGAAATGCCAGTACCCAAGACTAGGGCCCAGGCAGAAAGCTGAATATCCATTTGGGCGGTGTGATCACATCACTTAGAATGTTTGGGCATAAGGAACAGACACTCAACTCAGTCTGGCTTTACACATACAAAACCCCGTTGGCCCCTGTGATTGCTGAGCCCCCACATGTTTCTAGCGTCAGCCCCGGTTTGCTGCAAAGGTTCACACTTGTCATCAGTGCTTCATCTCTATTTCTCCAAGATTCCTGTACCTCTGGCCTCCCTGAATATTGGTTTCACCCTTGGACAGTCTTTCCTATAAGAGCAAATAGTTTCACACCTGTCCAATGTACAAAGGGAGACAGACAGCTCTCTCACGGAAGTCCTGCATTCATTCTGAGTGCTAGGTCTCCTGCGACCCGACCCAGCGCTGGATTGGAGTTAGCCCCATTGGAACCGCCCTTGTCCCTAAGTGGAAACTGGGTGAGTTGGAAAGGGGGAAAGGGAGAAAAGGGGGAAAGATGCTGGGTAGTTGGGAGCATGTCTGGAATTAGGCCAGCACTGCGGTTCTAACTCTCTCCTACCTGCTAACGGAGTGAGTGACTTAATTCTCTAACCTTGGCTGGCTCACCCGCAAGTGTCAGCAATAATACCCACCTTACAGAAGTACATACAGAAGTACTGAGAATTAAAGGAGAGAGTGCATGGCAAGCACTTACAACAGTGCCTGGCGTGTAACTCAATAAAAGTGAGTTATTATTCTGCTAAGGCGGTGCCTAGTCCCTCTGGGCTGCTATGACAGGAATACCATAGCCTGAGTGCTTTATAAACAACAGATATTTATTTGTCACGGTTTTGGAGGTTGGAAGTCCAAGATCAAGGTTGCTGGCAGATTCAATGTGATGAGACTCTGCTTCCCGGTTTATAGGAGCTGTGTTCTCCTTGCACGGGGAGGCAGTGCAAGGTAGCTCTCCGGGACCTTTGTCATGGGGTCACTAATCTCATCCATGAGGGCTCCACCCTCATGATCTAACCACCTCCCAAAGGCACCACCTCCAAATACCATCATACTGGGAGTTAAGATTTCAACATGTGACTTTGGAAGGACACAAACCATTCTGTCCAGAAGAGGTAGGTATTCACCTTGGAGCCAAAGCCCAGTTCCCTAATTTCCCTCTCCTGTCCCTCGTACTCTATTGAGGCAAATGATCTTTGAGCCCTGCCTTCACCTATAAGCCCACATTCCTTTTTAAGAGCTGAAGTGGTTCCTTGGCACCTTGATTTCTTTCTTCTAAGAAAGAAGGGACTGGGCATGTTCCCTGAGCTACCTGCTAGAACGCTGAACTCTGAAGAGACTATAAGACCAACATTCAGGTACAAGTTTCCCCCCAAATAGAAACATTATAACCAGACCAAACAGGCCAGAGGAAAGAAAACGTGTGTCATCGTTAATTAAAGTTGTTTCTTGTAAAAGAAAAAAAAAAAAAAAAGGAAAGAGATACACATGCAAGACGGGAAGAACTAAATGTAACATCTGCACATTTAACAATTACATTTGCCTTCAGCAAAGATAACCCAAAATAGCTGGTGAGAGAAGGAAAGGGCCACATCCTGATTTTAACCCGGATTTGTTAGGGAGGGGTTTTATCATCTCAGTGGTTCAATTTCAGATTTGAATCAGGGGCATTTTTCTCAGTCAGCAAAACGAGTTCCTCTGTCTAATTTCCTGCTCGTTTCAAAACCTTTCAAAACCAAATTCTTTCCTCCAGTATCTTGGTCTCCTCACTCTTGCAGAAAAGAATGTATGCACTGATGTTATTTCAGCTGAAAACAATGATTTCTCCCCCCCTCCCCAGCTGATATTTTTGTGCATTCCCTGAAACCCAACCAAGGTCTGGAAAGAGAAAACATCTATGCCAAGGAAGGCCATACCATTCAATTGTGGCTTCCCCTCCTTTTCTCTATTCAGAAATGGTGGAAGAAAATTTGGGAAGGGACCAGAGAATATTACTGAAATATCAAAGGATAGGATCAGGTTTCCACATAAAGATAAACTATAACTGATTCAATGTATGGGCGTAGAAAGACATCTGGGAAGTCGAAACAATGACAAAGACAACAATAATAATACAGTTGTTTGGAAGCTAACAATGATCTGAGCACAGGTACTTTCCCTGTCTCAATCACAGCCCGTGGGCAGGTGACAGGGCCACCCAAGCCATAGAAGAGAGAGCTGGTGTGACGGAAGGGAACTGGCCCCCAGCTTATGAGCTCAGTGGGCTGGGATTCAAATCGGTCTAACTCCAAAACCCAGTGCTTGCTGGCTGATGCTGCCCCTGGTTGTTTGGTTGGAGGTCGCATAATAGGGAACACTTTATGGGTTTAGCTGTGGGTTTGCAGGATTTGTTAAGTCAAGCAGCAAACAGGCTACAAATAAAGGAGGCCTAATAAGGAGTTTGATTAATTCATTGATGAGAGCATAGGAGAAAAGAAAAGAAAAAATAAAGACCATGAATGTTTAAGGCGTATAGTGAACTACTGAGTTTCATAATTTGGAGGAACTCCACTCTGCTCTTCAGCAACAACCAAAAATAAGTGAACAAATAAATAAAAATTCCTCGGTCATTCACTTTCAAACCCATCTAGATGAATTGGATGAATAGTCCAGGATAGCCTGGCTTTTTCACTTCCTTCCTTCCTTCCTTCTTTCCTTCCTTCCTTCCTTCCTTCCTTCCTTCCTTCCTTCCTTCCTTCCTTCTTTCCTTCCTTCCTTCCTTCCATCAGTAAATATTTATCCAGCACTAACTACTTGCTGACCACTGTATTAAGCACATTATATAAAATACTGATGTATTTATATATGCATGTATTATGTATGCAAAATGAATAATACATAATTCCTGTCTACCATCAGCTTATATTTTAGGAAAAGGGAAGAAGGAAGGTATCATAATCTTTTATGATGGATAGCCCATGGTAGGTAACCGGAGAGAGGAGCAAAACACCGTGGCTTCACGGGGAGAATGTACGGGTTGGCTTTGTGGTAGAAGGAGCCATGAACTGGCCCTCGAAGGATGGTTGGGATTAGCGATCCAGGTGCCCATGAAAGAAGCAGTCTCAGTTCTAGTTCTCTGGCTATCAACCTGGCGTTTCATTCTTAAGGGCTGGGACATACCGTATTTCTGCAGTCATTAGGCAATGAGTTCAATTTTAAATGAAATAGGGTATATAATAAGAGACTTTCACCCGAGCACAGGCTTTTCTATTAATGCTTAGTTGTGATCCCTGAAAATCAATGAATTAGCAAGCGTTTATTAAAACTTACTGCGGACCCAGATCCCAGTCTGAGCCCATCTCC